CATTCACATATCTGCTTGAGCCTGTTCAGCTCATACCTGTTAAATTTACAGAAGTTAATTATAATCTCGTATACACATGGTGATGCTATTGCTATAGTACTGTGTAAATGTCGTCATATTGTGTAATCTCGTATACACATGATAACCCATTCTGAAAGTGAAAAGAAACCTTACCTGTCAGCAGCTACCAGGAGCTGCTGAACCATGGTCGCCGCTGCCTGAGGCTCCTGGTCACCGTCAAGCTCCGGAGCCATGTCCGTGTAGATGAAGTGAAGCATGGACTTGAACACAACAGCCTCCATGTCTTCGATCACCACAGACTCGGAGCTTGTTTCATCCATGCCTCCAAAGAACTGGGCCTTGAAAACCGGGGACCTTGCAGCGAGTATGGCCTTGTGGGCGGCAAAGGATTCCCCAGAGACATGAAACCTGACGTCCGCTCCTTCCTGGCTCTGCAAGAGCTCACCGAGGTGCTTGTGCAGGTCCGAGGGTGGTGGCACTGGCAGGGGCTGCTCCTCATCATCTGCTCCTAGCACGGTGATTGTGCATTCCACGGTCAGTGAGTCATTCACGAGATAACCTGATGATGGTACCTCGTGTTTCAGCATGAGGAGAACTTCAGGCGAGCATTTGGAGCGACGGTCAAATACATGGGACACACTCTTCTCTTTGGAGGGACTGAGATGCTTGCTGGGGCTTACAAGCCGGCAGCTCAGATTCACCCTCAGCTTGTCCCTCTGGGGTTCACTGACGAGGATGAGCTTCAGAGCGACCCATTCGACGGAGTCGTCGAATATGGGTATGACGTCCTCGTCCTCGAGGAACTGGCAGTGACCAGGATAGAAATGGACCTCCCACTCGTGGCCATCGATGTTCCATCTGGATCTGGGTTTGATGAACTTCGCTGACCCCACCATGGTAGAGGTGGCGGAATAGCCGTCAATCTTGAGCAGCTGCACCGAGCGCACAGCCTCAGTGACAGTCAGGTTCTTGCCGTCATGTTCCATGGTGGAGGCCTCTCACAGAGTAGAGGAGATAACAGATAAGATCCAGAAGATTCTCCGAGTCAATATGAAATGGAATCGAGGGGACCTGGTTTAACTTCAACTGCAACGATAAAAAAAAAATCTCTCCAGTGATCTATATAACTAAAATGTGTCGAGTTCATCGGAAAAACCAAACGGTTAACTAAATAGAGTTGAAAAAAAAAAAATCTGGGGGCTTGGGGTTACCTTCACGGCTTCACACCCTCCGGCGCTAGCGAGGACTGGACCGCCGGTGTGCGGTGAGATGGATGGCCGCCCGACCTCACTAGCTCGCAGGTCAGGGTTGACTGGTGGCAAGCGGCGAGGAATCCATCTGTGCCTTGTCGTCAAACTCATCAATGGAGAAAGAAAGTGGGGAAAACCGGCGTCAAGAGTAGTACGCCCTGTTCGTCTGGCTGGAAAATGACTGATTCTGATGCTGATGCTGATTCGTTGTGAGAGAAAACAAACGAATAGGGCTGTAGTACGTTTCACACTTGGCTCCCACGCCTTTGCCGCCAGTGATTTCGTGTTTCGTTCCCGAGCCTTCTATAGGTTGGAAAAAGCCAGGCTCGTCTTTATCTCATCTACTCTCACTGTCTCAAAATACGAGTCTTTCTTAAGTTTGATCAGATTTATAGAAAAATATTAGCTACATTTGTATCGTCAAAAGAAATTATTATAAAAATAGATTTAATGATCTATCTAGTGATATTAATTATTTCCTCCGTCCCCAAAAAACTACAATTGTAGGACCAGAGAGGAATACCAATGCAACATGACAAATTACTACAATACGCCTATAAATTGATCGTAATTATTGTACTTGCACACCCACAGAATCTGGCACTACAAATTGCATCCGGTACTCGAGGGAAATATTTACACGTGTCATTACACACATTGGCGCAAGTTTTGAACAGAAGACTCTAGTGACGACACATCGAAATAAACAAAGCTTGGCCAACTAGTGTTTGTGGCTCAGAATCAAATAGGCGGAATACAAAATTTGAACCACCGCACCAGGTGATTTCCCGCCTGTGCCACCCCTCGTCCCTTCATATAAGTGCAAGACACACAAGATCGTGGTCAGTGATGATAAATTTCTACCAAAGCTATGTTACTTGTGATTGCACTGAGCTTTGTCAAATTGTTTGTGACCCTTGTGTAGATTCTTTTCATGCTTTTAATTAAGATCGTGGTCCCATACACTCCACTAAAAACATCCTTTACTTCCACACTATAAGTAAACAAAAACATGTCATTGACTTAGCCACCAAATAAGAATGCTCCATGTTATCAGTTTTATCAACCTCTAAATTTTTATCTTCAAATTTGGAGAAAGGCATGAGCTATGCAAAAACAGAAAAGAAAACAAAGATATTTATGCTCCAAAAATAAATTAAGGAAAAAATCCTTCCTTTTTGAGCATGATGAAAAAATGTGGGAAAGAAAGTGAGGAAGAAAAGAAAAGGAATAAAAAGATAGTCATGACCTCCAAAGATGTCAAAATAGAGGACATAGATCAAATCGCAAAAAGGAGTGTTGACTTTCATATTCAAGTAGGATCACACACTTGCACTTCTCGATCTAATTGCATGACTAGTTTTCTCCAATTGGGTTTGATTTTTGATTTAGCAAATTATGTGATGCAAGTATACGTCAATTTCTCCTTACCTTCATAAGCCTTCTTAGAAGGTAGCAAGGAAAGAGGCTAATCGTCTGCTTTGGTGAGGAAACAAAGCAAACAAAACCAGCAATCTGAGGGCATCACTTAACTTTTATTTACAAAACTTGTCAAAAACCTCCAAAAAAAGAAAGTGAACAAAGGACAAGTGATAAGTGCTCAAATAGTCAAATTACCAAAACCAATGCTCTGCTGGTAGCAGCAGCCAGCAGCCCTCCTAGTGGCGGTTTCGTTCACTGATACTCTGATAGCGCCGTGGCTCGCTGTGCTGCTCCTCGTTCCGGTGACTCTTGGGGTCGGCATGCATGGCACCGGAGCAGGCGAGCAAGACTGTGACCTGTGGGGTGCGATTGCTGCGGCGGCCGGCTGGACGGACTGTGCGTCAAGCCGAGCAAATACAGTTTTCCTATGCAAGTTATCTGGAACATGAAACTTTGATATTCCTCAAAAAAACATGAAACCTTGATGCAGCCATGCAGGAAATGCACATGATGGGCATATACTAAGCCCAAGTGCAAGGCCAGGTCGTGACATATAGCAAGCATCACACATGTATGTTTTTTGGCAGAATAGCCATTTTGGTCTTGAACTATTATTCGAAGCTCAGTTTTATACCTTAACTTTCAAAACGACCGTTTTAGTCCTCAAATTCTACTTTTAGGCTCAATTTTATCCTAGAACTATGAAGATGGTCGTTTTAGTCCTCAAACTTTGCATTTTGGGCTCAATTTCATCCAAAGTGTATTTCAATTTACCGACTAAATGATTTTTGTGGGAGCAATTACAGTTGCTTTGAGAACGCTAGAATAAATGGATATATTAAAACAATAGCAGATTTATAATTTTTTCTTAGCTAATTCTATAGAGTTAGGCTCAACTAATAACCATTTATGTATAAATAATATTTTTTATTCATATGCTAAAAATAATTCATATTTAAGAATATTTAGATCTATATTATATTCATCTTAGATTATGAATATAATTTTTAAAGTGTGCTATCAGATTCGGTTGTTGAGACGATGCTAGGGAGTAGGGACAATAGTACCTAATCAGCTGTTCGTTTGCTTGCTCGTATAACGATCGTGGATTATATAAGTTGGAATAGTATTTTCTCTCACACCAAACCAGCCAGCAGATGAAAATAATCAACGATCGTTACGACTTAAATGAACAGTGAATGATGATTGTCCATCTCAAATCGTGGGTGGTGCCGGAGAAAGGACGAAGTTGAGCCAAATGCATTTTGATAATTTATGGATAAGATTGTGCCGAAAATATAAACTTTTCTTTTTGATAGATAAAGATGAGTTGAAAATAATAAAAGTCTAAAGACCGAAATGCACTGTGATAACTTATAGATGAAATTGAGCCTAAAATGCAAAGTTTGAGGAGTGAAATAGTTATCTTCATAGTTCTGGATGAAATCGAGCTTAAAAGTAGAATTTTAGGACTAAAATAGTCATTTTGAAAGTTTAAGAATGAAACTGAACCTCGAGTAATAGTTAAGCGACCAAACCGGCTATTTTTAAGTCTGTTACAGAAATGAAAAATTTAAGTGGTGCATTCAACATCTTACAGCAATAGATAGTAGATACTGTGATTATCTAGTTCGGATCGCAGCTACCGAAATATTTTATTGCCGGATAAAAAAATAGCACTGTGATAAATAATGTGATCAAGTTTTTGGATTTTATTCTCAAGAAGAAACTAATTCTAGAGAGAAAAAAGTTTGTAATAGTGCTCTTATTTCTAAAAAATAATTGTTAAAGAAAAGGGTTTTCGAGCTCTTTGCCAATCGCAATTGAAGCAGCAAGCTGCTCATGCCATATGTCTACGTCAGTATACATATATGACAAGACATTGCAATTATTGGAGAAATTGAGAAGCAAAAAAAGGAATCCCACAACACAAAACGGCAATTGAAGCAGCAGGCTGTTCGTGTCGTGACAAATGCAAAAGAAGAAGGGCATCCAACTCTTAGGAAAATAATTATATCATAAAGCAACTCAAACTAAAGGGGGGGGATGAAATGGAAGCACTAGTTCATCATAATATCGCGTCTTAGGAACATCAAAACATAAAAGCAACTAATTAACACTACTGAGGATAGGACGCTAGGACTGCATGCCAAAATAACACTTCTAAGATAGAGATAGGACGCTGGGAGTGCATGCCAAATTAACACTAAGATAGAGATAAGACGCTAGCTAGGACTGCATGTCAAATTAACACTACAAAGATAAAGATACGACTGCATATGCCAAAGCTAGAATCGTCGATCCTCCTCAGTTCCTCCTTCCATGCGCAGCCCTCAGAAGTTCAGTCAATACCAAGGGGCAGCTCGCCACCAGATGATTGTAGCCCTCGGTCGCCAGGACCGCATCAAGAGTTTCTGGCGACCTGGCAATGAAATCAACACACTTGGCCTTAAGCAGCGAGCACTTGTGCTGCTCAGCTAGAGCCAACGTCATCACGACCGTGTCAATGCTGATGCCACCAACGAGCTTGACTTCACAGATCCACCAACGAGCTTGACTTCACAGATCAGCTTAAGCCCGTACCTGCGAAAATACTGATTAGTTGTATCCATAATAATTTATGTTGATTGTGCAACCACATTTAACTCGATAAGTGGATACATAACCTTATAATAGTCTATGTATAACTTGTAGCCTTAGTTTGGTAATAGACATTTTAGTATTCTCCACCATGGATCACATATATCACACCCTTTTATTTATAGGTCTCATAAAGTAGGTGATGACATAGGATGTGCGTTGTAGAGTCTGTTTGGTTGGCTATCAAAATTTATTATGCCAAAGATTTGGCAAAAAAAAGGTAATAGAACTTGGACAAAAATATTTGTCATAAATTTATTTATTTGTACCAGTTGTGATATATTGGCAAATCCTGATACCAAACCAAATGACTGCCAAAATCTTGGCTTGCCCAAGTTTTAGCAACTACATTTTGGCCATCAAACAATCATTGGCTCGTAGTCTTTTAGCCAACCAGATCATCCTCCTTCTGTAGGCTAATTTGACAACTTGGCTACTGCCACCAGGATGAATTATTTAATTAGTGGGTTAACCCAAAAGAAAAGGCTCAAATAGTCAAATTATTACCAAAACCAATGACTTATCCAAAACATAACCATCGTTTATTTTCCTGCTGCTCTGCTGCTAGCAGCAGCCCTCCTAGTGGCGGTTTCGTTCACTGACACTCTGATAGCGCCGTAGGTGGCTCGCTGTGCTGCTCCTCGTTCCGGTGACTCTTTGGGTCGGCATGCATGGCACCGGAACTGGCGAGCAAGACTGTGACCTGTGGGGTGCGATTGCTGCGGCGACCGGCTGGACGGACTGTGCGTCAAGCCGAGCAAATACAGTTTTTCCTATGCAAGTTATCTGAAACATGAAACTTTGATGCAGGAAATGCACATGATGGGCATATACGAAGCCCGAGTGCAAGGCCAGGTCGTGACATATAGCAAGCATCACACATGTATGTTTTTTAAAGTCTGTTACAGAAATGAAAATTTTAAGTATGGTATAGGTGTTTAGCTCTAAAGCATTCAACATCTGACAGCAATAGATAGGATGCCGTGATTATCTAATTTGGATCGCAGCTACCGAAATATTTTATTGCCGGATAAAAAAATAGCACTGTGATAAATTATGTGATCAAGTTTTGGATTCTGCAATAATTCTGCAATAATTCAAAATATTTCTGCAATAATTCAACAAGGGCGCCGTGTCCGTCCGGTTCTGGCTGCACGACACGAGCTTCTGCTTCGTGTGCTGCCACCTCGCGTCGGGCGGGCGCGAGGGCGACGAGGCGCACCGCAACGCCGACGTCACGGAGATCCTCGCCCGGACGACCTTCCCGCGGGGGCACGTGCTCAACTTACCGATGCCGCACAAGATTCTAGACCACGAGTAAGCCACTCACTATTGCTGCTACCTGCTCCCTCAATTCAATCTAGCTATCCACTGCCACTTCATGCGGTCATACTCATGCCATGCCAGCCAGGAAACAGATACGTACAGGTCGGCCGAATGGTCGTCCAGTTCCTGTGTGCTGCAATAGTAGCCATAGGAAAGGAAAAAGGACAGGTGTACATGAATCGTATACTGTATCGGATTTGGGTACAAGATAAATATAATACTACTACTACCACTAGCTACTTAATTTCACCACAAAAACAGAAAAAAAAACTACACTAGGAGCAGTAAACATATCGTTTGATCGTGTCATATTGACAGTTAGTTAACCGCAGCTAGGGAAGGTTAATTCAAAAATATCTAAGCGATCGTGGCAGGTCTGATTGACCGTCCAACTCCCTGTTTTATATACTGACTACGTTGGTGTTGTACATATATAAATATACAAAGTATATAAAATACTTGCATACGTCAGCTTAATTGCATAACTTGTTTTGTAGAAATATTTATTTTTTCATGAAATAAAATTATCTCAAACAACAAAACGGAGTACATCATTGCAAAGAGCTCGTCGAGACGATCAAAATTGATATATTATTTGCTATATTTGGAGCTCCGAATAAAAAGATATCAATTTTGCAAATTAAAAAGGAGTGCTGACGTCATCGCTGACGTCAGCACTGCTACAGTGCCATGCAAAACCGCCTGGGAAATCGGCCAGGGTCCTAAAGTGAACTTTTTCGAGAGTTGGAGGGCCAATGTTATCCGGTTTTGAAGTTGAAGGTTGAAATCCATACTTCTACGATAGTTGGAGGTCCTAAAGTGGACTTTACCCTAAGAAGAATGAGCTTTACAGCTACCAAACGGGAGTAGTTGGGATAGAAACGGACCTCCCACTCGTGGCCATCGACGATCCATTTAAATTTGATGTACTCAGAGCAGTCCATGGCAGCGGTGGCGCAATAGCCGTCGATCTTCAGCAGCTGCACCTTGCGTACGGCCTCCGTGAGGACAGTGCGGCCATGTTCCATGGTGGAGCGAGGCCTGAAGGAGGGTGGTTTGGTTTGAGAATGGTCAAGGTAGAGGAAGACAAGGTCAATGGCACTGATAGCTCCTACTTTGAGTTTCAGCTGCTACTTTATATCAAGCGCTTCTCTCCTCCGACTGTTTATATATATACGACGCTGCACTTAAAACTGACGAATGTTTGGGTGAAGAGGCACGCCGAGTAGTATTCGACTTTGGAACTTGGGAAGGAATAATGACCGAATTGATCGAGGCGATCACACTGATCAGTCAATGCAGCAGGAATAGAAGGCCATCCGTCGCCGTCGCCGGCTCACCGCTCATCTGTTAACCACTGCGATTAATCACGAAACTTGTGTGCTTCGTTTCCTTTTTTTCTCCTACACGCAGCGCTCCAACAGCATGAGTGCCATTACTCACGCGCCTAAGAAAAATTATGTCAGCGGACCACATGCTGGAGATCCAGAAGCCGCACCCAGGCCCAGGAAGGGAGCAAGGAAAAGGACTAGGAGCGTGCGAGTATCTGTGCCCGATTGGGCTTGTAACGCGTGTGCTCTCCAGCCCACTAGCGCAGAGGATAATGCCCTGTTTGGTACAAAGTATTTTTTTTCGGAGTTTTAGAAAAATACCATGGTTTTGTGAAATACTTTGGTTTTAGAGTGCCACGAAGTGTTTGGGTGCAACAAAGTTTATAGTTTTGAATACCATGGTATTGCTGAAACTATAGTCTTTTTGAGTTTTAAAATCTCCACTCTAGACTTATTTTTTCTAAACCACGGTTTTGCACATCAATAATTTTAAAATTACAGTTTCTTGATACTATGGTTTCTTAATACTACAGCATTCAAACAAGGCATAAGTGAGATGGGTGGCGAAGTCTGTAACAACTTCGGTAATGCTGGGAATCACACGTCGGTCTGCCCCCGACGCCCCTGTTTGTGCTTCGCTTCGCCTCATGCCCCACGCATGTTGCCCACCCATGGATGCAGTTTCGTGCTCCGCGCCTGCTGCCATGCCCATGGATATAGCTTTATGTTCTGCGCCTACTGCCGTGACCACTTTGCTTCCCGTGCGCACGCGGGGACCACTACGCCTGAGGGACCACCTTCGCCTGCGCCCCCTTGCCGCGTATGCTCATGGAACACTTGCAACACAAAAGCATTTGCTAGAACATACGTCCGACATAAATTAAACACTTACAGCATACTCTTGCAACATAGGTGTATGGCACCACAACATATGTAATATTCAAATAAAACACTTGCAACATACATATGAAACAACTGAAACATTTAAAACATATTACACTTGCAACATACGTGTGTAGCCAATGGAACATATGCAACATCCAGATAAAACACTTACAACATACGTTTGAAACAGCTGAAACATTTGAAACATATATTTGCAACATACGTATATAGTTATTGCAATATATGCAACACAAGATCTACTTTTATAACATCCAGATGAAACATATGCAACATAATCTAAAACACATGAAACATACGGTTGCGACATGTGCTCATCTACTTGTTGTCCCTCAATGAACGCTCGTTGACGCAGAGCTTGACATCGGCACGGAGCTTGAGGTCGCCCAGGTCAACAGGCAGATGGATCGCAGCCGCAGCGGGAGGCGTGAGTGCGGGTGGGCGCGCGCGGCGCGAGGCACGGGCGAGGGTCGGTGGCGCAAGACACGAGATGCGGGGGCGCGCGGCTTGAGGCACGGACGAGGGTCCATGGCGCGAGACGCAAGATGCGAAGGCACGCGACACGAGACGCATGGACGCGCGGCGTGAGATGTGGGCGCGCACAGTGTGGGGGCAGGCGGGTCGGTCCGTCCGGAAAGGACGGACGCCCTAAGGGTACCATTATTTATCGATAATAGACATTATTGTAGTTTTCTCCACCATGGACCACATATACCACACCCTTGTAGTTTTCTTCGGTGGGCTCGGCACCATCCCTGGTGCGGCGCACCTCTCCCTCCGGCGACCCATCTCCAGTCACGCGATGATCTCCTCTCCCTTCGGTGGCCCCTCTCTAGTCGCATGGACGAGCTCCTCTCCCTTCGGCGGCCCCTCTCCGGGCGATTCGGGAGGAAGATCGAACAGGATGTGAGGATGACAAGCGGGGTCCGCTTGTAAGTGAGACAGCATGGCAGCAGTTTTGACAGAAGCCACGGCTACTCAACCAAAGGGCTTTTGACTTTTGTCACATCCCACATCTCAAAGTAGCTTTTCTAAAAGTCACTGTCGGTGTTTTGGACTGGGGGGTCCTCAACCAACTAGTGAAAGTGTACTGCGTGTTCCTAATCCCGGATGGTGATGCAAAGAGACACAAGGTTTATACTGGTTCAGGCAATAGGTGCCCTACGTCCAGTTTGAGAGAGCGATCTCGTGCTGTCCTTGGAGCAGGGGTTAGGCAGCATAGTGCAGTACGGGCGTCAGTCGTAGGCACAGTGCCGAGCACAGCGGTCGGTAACCCCCGCCCCGTCCTGTCCC